ATTGTCGTCCCTGACATTCACTACCCCATATCAGTTTGGTCATTCTGTTAAGATTCCGTCAACTATTATGTTAATTTGTATGTGGGGCCAATCCAATGAAATGGTGACACGTGGATTACACAAAATAAGAGTTTTTATTGCAAATGGTCCCTAACATTGATCCAACTCCTCATTTTGGTCCCTAAATTTCACAAATCAATACATTTGGTCCCTGACTTTCACTATCGCACATCAATTTAGTCATTCCCTTAAATTTTCATCAATATTTTTTGTTTATGTCATGATGTGGTCCCACTAATCCAATCATATGGCTCTACATGGATGAACTATAAGAAACTATATTTTTTAAGAGTGAACCAACGGATGAGTATTACTCGCATCCCACAACCCCAATTGGAAAAAAATCAATCTAAATTTGATAAAATCAAATCCAAATTCAATTCAAATTTGATTGGATTATAACCAATTAGAGAGAATGATGAGTGAGTTCAGGAGGCCAAGTACTTTAGTGGTGTCGTGGTGCCTTCTTTTTTCTTTTTGAGCATACCCTGATGAAGATGACGATAACTTTTTTTTCTTTTAGTTTTGGTTTTTAGTTTCTTATTTTACTTTTAGTTTTAAATCTTAAAAAAAATTGTTTTTTTATAGTTAATCCATGTGGCGCCATATGATTGAATTAGTGGGACAACAGATATTGACGAAAGTCCGCGACCAAATTTATCGATTCTTGAAACTTACAAAAATAAGGAGTTGGATCAATGTCAATGATCATTTGCGATAAAAACCTTTATTTTGTGTAATCCATGTGTCATCATTTCATTGGATTTGTGGGTCCCACATACAAAATAACAGAATAGTTGACGGAATCTTAACAGAATGACCAAATTGATGTGCTGTAGTGAATGTCAGGGACGACATCGACGACATCGATTGATTTTAAAAGTGAGGGACCAAAATGATGAGTTTGATCAATCTCAGGGACCATTTGTGAAAAAAAACCCTTATAAGTTAAACTTTTTAATTACTTGTTAAGTTTTGTTTCAATGGAAAGTTCAAATTAGTCCAACCATAAATTAAAATGAAAACTAATGAAAAAGGCTTGAAAACTTTGAGTTTTAAAGATAAAGACAAAATAAAGGGTAAAGTGAATAGTACCATAATTGACTTTTTAGTATAAAAATGTGGTTTTTCGTTAAAGTGAATAATACCAGGAGTTTTTCGTTAGTTTGCAAAAAGTGAATAATACCGGGAGTTTTTCGTTAAAGTGAATAATCCAATTACTGTTTTTTATTTTATTTTTTATTTTTTATTTTTTTTATTTTTATTTTATCAAAGAAACATTCAATTAGTTTGCCAAAAGGAACTTTGCACCTCCTCTAATAATATTTATTTTCACATAGCTATGAGATTTCCATTTAGTATTACGTGTATATTAAACCGCAGCCAAACTAAACTGCAATTTTTGAACCTATTTAATGAGTTCTAAGCAATTATAGTTCGATTTGTAGTATGATTCTAGGCAGTGTTATATACAATTTGGTGCATAATATAAACCCAAAACGGAACTAACCCAAACTGTGCCAAGCCTAAATCAAAGAAAAATGAATTGTTGGGTCAAGTCATACCCGAACATGATCCAACTCATTCCCATGCTACTCTTGCAGCGTTTGGCCCAACACATGATTAGCCCGATACATGTAAAAGTCAATCATGCATTTCCACTTTAGTTAAGCAATTTTTTATCCACATTCCCTTGAGCTTTTGTAGGCAGGTTTTTGTAAGGGTATGCACAAATTGTTCACATAGCCATCGTTATCAATGTTAAAATGTTCTCTTGTGACTCTATCATCAGTGTTAGGAAACTTTTAGATCGAAGTGGACTTGGACTTTGCGTGTACTCATTTGCTTCCCTTAGTTCGCTTTTATACCAAGTTCCAAAATATTTTGAAAGAATTAGCAGGCCTTAGAAAATATCCTGGTTGCATCAATAACTCAAAGATAACATGATCAAGTAAATAATCACTTGCCTAAGTGAGACACGGTGTGGAAACTAGAAATTTATCAATTTAGCATGAGAGAGAGAGAGAGAGAGAGAGAGAGAGAGCTCTGCTTGATTCCATGGTGTTCTAGGTTGGATTTCCTAGGGGTTCTAAGAGGACTTCTATTGAATGAGAGGATCAAAGGAAGACTAAGGAAAACTCTAAGGTTGCAGGAAGGTGATCCTCCCAAAAATTCAAGACTACTTACATTTAGAGAGTGATTTCTCTTGCTTGGTGCAATACAACGTTGAATCTCTCTCTCCCTCCCGTTCTATGTCGTTCCCCCCTCTGTATTGAGTTGGTCCTCCAATTAAATCTAATGCTAAGGTGGAGAATTATGAATGTACGTATTTTACGTTCTAATATTGACCATTGATGTCAAACACAAGAATGAAAATGAGAAACCATAAATTCTGTGTCAACAAATAACTAAAAAACAAAACTTGAAGTTTAGAAAATATAAACATATTATTGCCACATTATAACATGTGAATTAGTACACTTTCTCGGTGAGAATGCGACAATTAGATTAGAGAAAGAAAATTTAGCGAGTTAGAACAAAATGAGTGGATTATTAGACAAAGACTCTTCCTTTATCAAAGTAAAAGAAAAATGGTACGAGTGGAGATGGACTTGGAAAGTGGCAAACCTCATAACAAATATTTAGTACTAAAAAGACAATGACCCAACTAACACTTGAGACTAATTTCGTACTAAAAAGTTAAGGCCTCGTTTGATTCGAACTGTACTGACTATTTCAGTCGGATAGGATAAATAGTCGTCGGATAGTACTGACTAAATTAGTCGAGCGTTTGGTATTGTATCGGATTAATTTATGCATCGGATAATACATCGGACTATAATAAATCTTTTTTTTTTAATTCACAATAATTGTTGTTAAAATTAAAATAAAAAAAAATTAAAAAAAGGAAAAAAAAAACCAGGACTCTTCTCAGTCGCATCTTCCTTCTTCACCATCTTCCCCTCACATCAATCCTACCCTTGGCAACCGATTGCAGAGGAGTAACGGCTAGGGTCGAGAACTCGGAGCCTATATTCGAATTCCTGTCCCCCTCCTCGTCGGAGCCCAGCTCCCTTCCTCATCGGAGTCCATATCCGAATTGATATACCCCTCCTTGTCGGAACCTAGATCACTTCCTCATTGTCCTTCTCATTGTTAGAGCCCAGATTGGAAGAATTTTAATCATCATCTTCCTCGGAAGAATTTGTTGTCAGAAATCAAAGGCAAACAAAGAGGTAGGAGGTGTGTGTGCAAAGAAGGAGGGAGGAAGAGAGAGAGAGAGAAAAAAAAAAGATAGAGAGAGAGAGAGAAAAAAAAAGATGTACGAAGACGAACCTGGAAGTAGACAAGAGATAACAGGAGATGTGAGAGAGTTGAAGGAGAGTGCGTGAGAGAGGGACGGAGTGAGCCAGTGTGAGCGAGAGAGATGCACCTGACTAAATAATACAGAAGTTTGGGACGGGATAAACAAGCGGGTGTGAAGGGGATAAAAAAAAGTGGGGCCGGATTAAATAATCTGTGCTTATTTAATACGAAGCTCACCAAACATCCGCTCTGTATTATTAGCACTATCTGGTAGTCTTATACGACGTGCTAAACGAGGCCTAAAAGCCAAGGAGCATCCAAGTCGTATCAAACAACATTTGAACAATCTGGTCAAATAAAATAAACACACTTGTGTACATAACAACTGACTGCATAATGCATTTCCACTTTAGTTAAGTAAATTTTTCTCCACTTTCCCTTGTGCTTTTGTAGGTAGGTCTTTGTGAGGGTATGCACAAATTGTTCACATAGCTATTGTTATCAATGTTAAAGTGTTCTCTTGCGACTCTATAATCATTGTTGGGGGACTTTGAGTGCTAGGTGGATCTGGGCTTTGCGAGTACTCTTTTACTTCTCTTGATTTGCTTTTGTACCAAGTCATAGGATATCTCGAAAGACTTAGCACGTCTTAAAAAAGATCTTAATTGTATCAACGACTCAAAGATAGCATGATTAAGTAAATAATGGTTTGCTCAAGTGAGGCATGATGTGAAAATTAGAAATTTATTAGTTTAGCATGAGAGAGAGAGCTCTGCTTGGTTGCATGGTGTTCTAGGTTGAGTAATTTGGGTTTCCTAATGTTCTAAGAGAGCTTATATTGACTGAGAAGATCAAAGGAAGATTAAGGAAAACATTAAGGTCAAATGAAAGTGATCTTCCCAAAGATCCAAGACTATTTCCTTAGAGAGTGATTTTTCTTGCTTGGTGCAGTACAACCTTGATCTCTCTCTCTCCCTCCCGTTCTATGCCATTCCCCCTCTGTATTGAGTTAATCCTCCACTTTAAGGCTTCTAACCTTTCTTTTGTAGGTAAATGATTCTTTTCCAGGCTTTTTGGGGAGTCTCTAGTTATGTTTAGTCTTCCTTCCCTTTCTCCTAGTGCCACTGCAACCTTCCTTTTGGTGTAAGACAAACAAGCGTCGTTACGCTCGTAAAGACTACATCGCTTGCTCTTCCCAGACCGCTACTTTCCCTTGTGAATGAAGACCACCTCCTTCATTTAATGCATGCTTTGCTGGGCTTTCATGTGAATGAAGACCTAGGATATGGTTCCTTTCTAACTGGATTGGTTAGATTGCTACGGAAAGTGAGAAACTAAGTGCTCTCTCAAAGTTACCTACGTGGAATTAAAAAATTAGGGACTTGGACAAGCAATCTAATTCTTCCATTATCTTGATTCCGGGTAGGTTCGATAAACTTCAGTAACCATCCACATCACAGTTTACTTGGCAAGCCCCGAGCATGTGCCTTAAACTTATTTTATCATGAATAGTAATTAGCTCGATAGAGCTTGGCGTGAAAGATATGCATGGATATGGTGTGAATTAGTAGCTTTTTCTCGATGGATGAGGGTGTGACAATTAGAATAGAGAAAAGAAAAAAAATCTTGCAAGGTAGAACAAAGTGAGTGGATTATTCGACTAAGACACTTCCTTTATCAAGGTAAAAGGAAAATGGTACGAGGGGAGATGACATGGAAAGTGGCAAACCTAATAACAAATATTTAGTACTAAAAAGCCAATGACCCAACTGACACTTAGAACTAATTTACTACTAAAAAGTAAAAAGCCAAGGAGCATCGGAATCAAACAACATTTGAGCAATCTGGTCAAGTAAAATAACCAACCTACACCCACACACTTTACCAAAAAAAAAAAAAAACGCACACCCACACACACAAGTACACAACAGCCGCTGCATTCGGGCCCCCACACTCGACAATTCATACCCCTTCACCTTCTACACTTTGTACTTGTACCAACCAAATGACCAAATCATATGCATCTTACGTAAACCAGCAGTGTTACACCCATGTTTTTGAATCAACATTTTATCAAAATTAAATTAAACTAAAAACCCTAATCTTCATGTGCTAGCATTTTATTAAAACGGTGGCTAGGAAGAACTGCTCGTAAAGTTAAGCACCAAATTTGGGAACTTTGGCGGTGGAGATTTGAGCAAGGAAGTGCTCCGCCACAATCCGGCGTTGGATTTTTCCGGTCGCGGTTTTCGGAAGAGACTCGGTGATGAACACCTTCTTGGGTACTTTGAATGAAGCCAGATTCTTCTTGCAATGTCGCATCACTTCTTCCTCGTCCAAGCTTGAGCCTTCTCTTGGGATTATGGCACAATTAATCTGCAAAATTAACACATAGTAACATAAATAATCAACCACAGATTGCCAATGATGATATATCAAACTGATTAACTCATCAAAATCAAATATCGACGCATAACTATCGGTTATTGAACTGGGGTTCGAAAAATGTAGTTTAGTTTGGCCACGTACCTCTTCGCCATATTTATCATCAGGAACTCCAAATGCAACGCCTTGGGCGACCTCTGGATGTGACAAAAGTACTGCATCGACTTCAATCGGCGATATCTTTTCCCCTAAAAGCAACAAAAACGTACACATTGTGAGCTAAACTTTACTCGCGCATTTTATCGAACACTCGGTGTGCCATTTCGATTAATTCAGTTACCTCCGCGATTAATCAGCTCCTTAATCCGACCCACGAGGCTCAAATACCCATCGGAGTCCAAAACTCCGATATCCCCCGTATGAAACCACCCGAACAAGAAAGCCGCTTTGTTCGCTTCCGGGTTGTTCTTGTACCCTTTAGTCACATTGGGTCCTCTGATGCAAACCTCGCCGTTCACCCCCTCCGGCTGAGCCGAACCGTTTTCGTCCAAAATCGCAAGCTCCTGACCCACGGGTCGACCCACCGACCCGGGCTTGTGGGCCCCGTCTTCCGGCAACGGATTTGAACACATCAAATGGGACGCCTCTGTCATCGCGTAAGCCTCCAAGACCGGAGCGCCGAACGATTCTTCAAGCCGCGCCAATATCGACGGCGCCAGCGAGGCGCTGCAGGTCCGGATAAACCGGAGCTTCGGGTATTGCGGTTCGGGTTTGCTGCTGTGGCGGTCGAGGATGATTTGGTGGATGGTGGGGACCGCGGTGTACCACGTGGCGTTGTATGTGACCATGTCGGACCAAAACGTCGAGGCGGAGAATCGGCCAGCGGCTGGGAGAGTCGCGGCGGCTCCTGCGGAAAATGAACTTAGTAACCCGGCAATTAATCCGTGCACGTGAAACAGAGGGAGGACGATAACCGTCGAGTCCGACTCAGTAAGTTTGTAGACCGATTTGATGTTCTGGACCGAAGAGGCCAAATTGAGCTGCGTCAAGGGGACTCCCTTGGGCCGGCTTGTGGTCCCCGACGTGTGGAGGAAGAGCGCCACGTCGGAGGGGTCGTTGACGAGTTGCGAGACCGAGTCGGGGCTCCCCTCTGCGGCTGAAGAGAGAGTGACGTGGCTGGCGGCGTCAGACAGGTTGGCGGTCACGTGAGGGATGTTGAGCTTGGAAGCCGCCGCTTGGGCCGCATGAATCGGTTCTTCCGGCGTGATCAGCAGCTTCGATTCCGAGTCGGAGAGGTAGAACTCGAACTCCTCCGCCGTGTACGCCGCGTTCAGCGGCGCCGCTGTCGCTCGGCACCGAATCACCGCCAAAAACATTACAACAAACTACAGAAAAGACACAAAAAAAAAAAAAAAAACACCGTCAAAATTATTTTTTCCTAATTTAAAAACTTGTTTGGTTGCGGAGAAAATGGTGGAAAATAAAACGATGCGATATGTACCTCGACGGCATTGGGGAAGGTGAGTGCGACGGTGTCGTTTGGGGCGATGCCAGAGGCGATTAAGAGGGAGGCGGCATGGTCCACGAGCTCCTGCAACCGCGCATGGGTCAAGTCGAACTTTCCGGAAACGGAAAGGGCGCGGCGGTTCGGGAACTCCGACGCCACCTGCTTCAGCAATCCGGTTAGAGTCGGACTTTTCATTTTCAGAGCAGAATTAAATTAAAATTAAATTAATAAATGGAAGCGATTGGATATGAAGGAAGGAGATTTGCCGTTTCGTATTTATAGGGTCGCAGAAAGCGAGTGGGGAAGGGTGGGCGCGGTGGAGGCTGGAACCGGATGGGACACGTGGCGAGCTGTCGCCGGTCAGATAGAATGTGCCGCCCCTCGGGAGGCGCAGTTCCACGTATCACGTCATGTCGTTTTGGGTGACACGTCAACAAGTTGCCTTGGTGACTGACGTAGCGGGGCCCACCGGGGATTGGTGGACTTGGGAGATGTGATGGATGATCAGGTGGCGGATAATGGATGTTGAGAGCGTAGGGGAGGGAAGCGGCCGAGAGAGGACGAAAAGTCGTTTTATGGGTCGATTGTGGGCCAGCCCATGGACTTCCGTAATGAATCGGTATTCTATTTTTAGTGTTTTATGCCAACTTTGCTTTGTAGTTCGAGAAATAAAATAAAATAAATTTTTGCTTTGTAGATTTTTTTTTTTTTTGAATGAAACGATATTGTTAGTAATGTTAGATTAGCCACCGGCCGGGTTCAAATCTACGTTTTCATGTAAGGACACAACACATTTCCACCATTATAGTAAAATGTCACTTGCATGCTTTGTAGATTTCAAGTGTTTGACGCTTGTTCAGTTTCCTTGAAAAAAGAAAGGAATCCACTCGTTTTTGTTTATTTTATTTTTTAAAATGAGTGTCAGCAAAAAGGTTTATAAACCTATGCATTGTAAGAAAAGGGCTTATCAACGTTTTGGTAACCAAATCAACACTTTTCATCAAGGTCAAAGTTTCATGTTCATAGGGTGGTCTGATCAATAGATTTTCGATATCTAAGCCAATTTCTTTGAAAAAGTGAGTGTTTTAGGCTTGTATGTGTAGTCAAAGCTTACTAGAATTTGGTAGATATGGGGTATTTATAGGAAGGTGGCCAGACTATGCATAAGGTTTTACCCAACACATGACGGCTTCCCATTGGCCAAGATGAGTCATCCATATAATAAATAAGAAAAGAATATTCCTAAGATATTAATAGGAGATAATATTTTGGGATGATGATGGAAGTATCCTTGATTTATTTTGATGAGGATTCGTTACTTGTTTGAGTTGATCGTTAATAGAGAGTATTAAAAATAGAATTTAGTAATTAATCATATATTTAATGGCCTTGACTTTTCCTCTTTGCCATGCAAGGGAGCCAGGTTATGTCGTATTCTGCTGCTCAAGCCTCCATAGATGTTGGATTGCGCTTGGGAATACTTGTGGGTGGCCTTACCCATTTAATGAGGACATTCTTATCTTCTTCGAGAAGGGGTTCACATGTCATCTCTAGGATTTTTGAAGTTATTTTTTGCTACACAAATGTCCCCACACTGATTAGGTTGAACGCAGAAAAAGGCAGTATGTGTAAAGAAAAAAATCACAAGCTGAATCAATGAGCGGACAGTTGCTTCCTAATTTGTTCTAGATTTTGCACTTTGATTTGGATATAAAGTTGTCCTGAAAAGAGAAACCATTTGTCACAAAAACCTATTTAAATCTAACATAAGTAGAGGATTAAATAAATTTGGAGAACAATCTTTTATTCCAACAAGAAAAGTGAGAAAACCAAAGGAAATTGTACCCTCCTACCTAGTCTTGTTCTTTGTTTGCCCTTGCGAAGATTTGAATTGACGTTATTCTTCTTCTCCTTATCGCGACAAGGTAAGAAAAAATCCAATTTTTCTTCTTCTCTATTTTTCTGGAACTGCTTTGGAGCCACGGGTCTTGACGGGGAAGCTCGGTGCGAAGCCGAGGATGTCAAAAACTTGGCTGGAAGCCACAACACTGCTGCAGAAAATCGGCTTCGCTGAGCCGAGGTGTTAGGTTAACGCGAGCTGAGGATCAGTGAGGCGGCTGACTCGGGCCAGGAAGGCACTGGACTGGGCTGGCAGTTGCAAGAGTGGATCGGCACGGGTCGGGTCCATGTGAGAGGGAGGAGGGCTGGGCCTACGAGCCTGGCTGTCTGGCTAAGGGAAAGGAGGCATTCCTCTTGCCCGCTTTGGGTCGAAAGGAAGAGGAGGGCCATTGTGGGTTGGTCCTCCGCTGCTGCTTTTTTCTTTAGGCCGTGGGACAGCAGGCTGGGCTTGGGCTTGCATGCGTTGCTCCATGTATATTTTTTCTTTCCTTCGAATTATCTTCTAAATAGTTTCCCGATGTCCTCCATGCATGAATTCTTCAAGATGCCTCTCTCCAATCGTAAGGGTGATGAATATCCTCGGCCCCTATATCGTCAAGGTGGGTGTTCTTGTAAGGTTTTAAAGTTGCTCACGTCAAGATCAATTCGACGAGTTGTTTTGGGACTTCTATGAGACATACAGGCATGCAAACCCATCTGAAGTTCTCATGAGATGAGTGAAGGAAGAAAGTAACCATGAACCATGCAATCAGATAGCTAAAGCTTGGAATATAGCTATCAAGTTCCATCCTTACTACTTTGTGGTGAGGTTCACTTGTTCCCCGCTTCGTTTATTTCTGGAGGTAATATGCTTCATGAAATACGCTCCTGCCCAGTGTTCTCCGAATGCGGTCCGCATGATGATGGGATTTTCCAATCTAAGCAAGTTCTTCGACCTGGACCTGACTATTGATGAGTTATACATGCCACAGTCCTTGGGTTTTATTGACCCCAATCTTCCTAAGTTTGTGTGTAAACCGTATAAAGCAATTTATGGACTCAAGCAAGCCCAACGTCTCAATACATTTCTTATACAACCTGATTTCGTCTAGAGTCATGCTAATAACTCCATGTTCACCTTTCATAAAGGTTCTTATCTTCCTTCTCTACGTGGACGACATTAGTTTGACGGGTAACTGTAGACATCGAAATTTCGGTGAAATGAATGTTGACCAATAAATAAAATTTCAACGCTCACGTGTCGCATAAAGTTTACACGTAGCATGTGACTCAACGAAAAATCGAAATGAATCGGAAAAGTCATCAAATAGGATATGTGGCAACACCTGGCAGAAATGATTTATTTCATCTGAATATTATATTCAAAATTAGGCCTTGAAAATTTCTATAAATAGAAGCCAATTTCATTCATTTCATTTCACCAATTCACATTACACCAAAACCTTGAAGCTTTGAAACTCTAAAGCTCTCAAGAAAATCCCGAAGGATCAAGAAAGCCCTCTTCGTTCTTCGTCAAATCCTCCTTCAAGATCAAGCCCCGACGCCCCTTGAAGAACTTCCACCACAAGATCAAGCCCCGACGGCCCTGGAAGAAATCCGCACAACCATTATTCAAAGATCAAGCCCTGACGGCCCTTGAAGAAGCTCCCACCTGTTTATCCTAAGATCAAGCCTTAAAGGCCATTTGGATCAACAACTTCAAGATCAAGCCCCGACAACCCTTGAAGAAACTTCCAACTGTTCATCCAAGATCAAGCCTCGATAGCCCTTGGATCAACAACACGTCAACAAACCAACATCTTACGGAGATCGAATCAGAGGACCAAATTATAAAGAGATTGTAACCCCAAAATCATTAATACAATATATTACTTTGTACACGTGTTCTTGTCTCGTTCGTCATCAGGAAAATTCGTGTTTACAAATTTGGCACGCCCAGTGGGACAATCTCTACCTCTTATCTCTATCCTCAAATCCGCAAAAAAGCGCAAATGGCATCAAGAAAGGATCAAGCTGTTCCCGCAATCAAAGCGAAGAACAAAAACATCCTAGCCGCAAGTGGTGATATTTCGGGCATCACAACCCGAAACAAGGCAATAGCTCTTTCTGCCACCTCTTCCACCTCTGCATCAACTTTGCTAAAGGAACAAGAACACCTAAGGCACGAGCCTGTGATCACCCTGGCCTCGCTAAGGGCGCCAAGGGAGGAAAGTCCAAGGAATGACTCCAAGTCCATGCATTCTAATGCCAACTCAAACGGCAACTCAGCCATGCAAGTCATGACCACCGGAGCAACTTCAATCGATGAGCAGCTGGCTCAAATGAATGAAGCGATCGCAAGGCTAACACGGACGGTGGAAGAAAAAGACTTGCAAATCGTTATACTCGTCAACCGACTAGAGACTTAGAATGACGAGAAACCCAACCCAAAGGTTAATCCACTGAAGAGATGAGCTAATAAAGAAAAGGAGCTTTCGGTGGAGAAAGTAAAAAAAGAGCAAGAGCTAGACCAAATGGCAACACTCATGGGATCTCTTTCTATCCATCAGCTGCAGGAGATGATCACCGACGCTATCAAGGCATAGTACGAAGGGAGCTCACACACCTCCATGTTGTGCTCGAAACCCTACTCTAAGAAGATTGATGCCTTGAAGATGCCGAGAGGTTATTAACCGCCAAAATTCATGCAGTTCGATGGGAAGGGAAACCTAAAGCAACATGTCGCCCATTTCATTGAAACTTGCAACAATGCTGGGATGGAGGGAGACTACCTCGTCAAACAGTTTGTGTGCTCGCTGAAAGGTAACACCTTTGATTGGTACACCGACCTCGAGCCTGAGTTTATGAACAGTTGGGATCAGCTAGAAGGGAAATTTCTTAACCGCTTCTACAGTACTCGTTGCACTGTAAGCATGTTGGAGCTAACCAGTACGAAATAGTGGAAGGATGAACCTGTCGTCGACTACATCAATAGATTGCGTTCATTAAGTCTGGATTGCAAATATCGGCTTTCTGAAACCTCCGCCATTGAGATGTGCATCCAAGGCATGCATGGGGGGTTACATTACATCCTCCAAGGCATAAAACCAAAAACATTTGAGGAGCTGGCAACTCGTTCCCACGACATGGAGTTGAGTATCGCCAATCACTGGAAGAAGAAGCCGATCACCGAGTTTAAGAAGGATAAGGTGTTCACTCCAAATGTGGACAAGACTGGTAAGAAGCCCACCAAGGAAGCTTTCACCGTCAACACTACGCCCATAAAGATCTCCTCTAAGAACAAAGCAAAGGAGATAAAGAAAGGTGAGCCTTCTCGCACCCAAGACAGGTACAAAAGCACTTTGAGGGAAC